GGGAAAGCATTTCGCGTAGTCAATTTGCCGATTTATCCGATTCTAAGGAATAATATCTTTGAAGAACAGGTATCACGTAAATATGTTAAACGTTGAATCAACTTGGGAGCTAATTTAGTGAGAAGCTCTCTCCTATTTACCTGGACTTGATGCTTTTAGACGAGCTTTCGCCTGCTTTCCACTTTAATTGAGACATTTCTTTGCCAAGTAATGCATGCATTTGTAAATTATGTGGCAAGCACAATGATACTCTCTCTATGCCCAGGGAAGCTGAGAACATTTACAACTTGAAAAAGTTCCTAGGGCGGACCGGGAATCGAATCGGAATCTATCTGAGTCGCTTATTTAGCGAGAATAGGTGTATCTTCTATTTATTATTATTATAGTCGCTTTCTAACACTTTTGGGTTATTCGTAAATTGTTCGGGGATGAGCTTTGAACTCGTGAATTTGGTGTGAGAGGTATGGATGCTAACTACTACGCCGGAGCCGTCCCCTAATAATAAGTGCATCTATTTAGAGTACAGTTGAGCCTTTGCAATCATTTTTTCAAAACTAGCTATGAAAAAAACAACTTGCTTTTGAATACTATAATGCTTATTGTTTTACAAGAAAAAAAAGTTCAAGCCATTTCTGGTAACTTTGCGACAGATAGCTGGGACCTTCGCCAAAGTGGTAGTTTTTTTTTCTTAGGGTAATTATAAGCATTTAATCTTTATCTTTTCGATCAATTGGGATTTGAGCAAAAATTAATTTAAATTTGATTTGTAACTTAAAAAGAATTTACGATGATAGTGATCCCAATGTTTGCTAAAGCGATTGTGATTCGTAAGTGGTAAATCCAGAGAAAACGATGATTTTAATGATACTTCAATAATCAATTAATTTCTCATAGCATCGTTATTTTACAACCCGATAATTCCTCGAATCGCTGGTTCACATAAGGGTACAGGCTCATATTTTGAGGTCATGATTGATTCATGGTGGTATGAATCAGGATGAAACACCAGTATCTAAACATGGTCCGTTGGATCCACCCACACCAGCGCGTGTGTGATAAACAACTTTTCCGAATCATGAATGCAGACTTAGCAATGAAACGATTTATGTACTCACGCAGTCTCGAGTAGCAACCGATCAAAACAGTTATAAATCAATGTTTTATGAGATTGGTGGATTACGTTTATGCAAAGGTCAAATACTTTGCCCTATTGCAACCACAATTTGACCTTTCAAATTATATCAGATTTGAATGTTTTGCATGGCAAGGTAAGGGAAAGGAATCTTATAAAACTTTTATTTGCCAAATTTAATTGAAATTTTAGACAAGCTGTATTCAGAAATTAAAAGCATTTTTAAATTTATCTCCCTCCTCTCATTACATATTTATTTTGCATGGATAAGGCTGCTAAAGACTGTTCTGTTTATGCCTTAAATAATGTTTCATAGCTTGATTCCTTTCTACTCAATTACGTACATGTGTTTCAAAGCCGAAAAGCTTTACAGAGGACACACTTCATAAACGTCTCACGAGGCACTGAAGGTTTTTAACAGTGTGCTAGAAAAGTTCATTCACAAAATTCTCATCCTAGATGAATGCAATCTAAACGGTAAGCGCATGCGTCAGATCAAAGCACTGTAAGAAAAAAGAGCGGTATTTTTCACACTTCTTTGCTCCTTGCAGACAGGACCGGTATTTTGCATTTCTCTTGATAATCCACGTGATAAACATATCAAAACAGAACTGAAAAAGGGTCTAACATTTTTTGTAAACAATGCCTTCTCTAGATGATTTCTTGAAAGTCAAGACTCGCCCAAATAAACCAACAGACAGAGTGTCTTGAATTCATAGAAATAATCGAGAGAAGTGTTTAGTTTACAAAAGCTTTTAGACCCTTTTTCCAGCTCTGTATTGAAATGGTCTACTCTTCTGCACAATAAATCAGAAAACGATTTATTTTTAAATCTTGAGATGATGTCATTCAATCACAATGAAGCAGCAAACACAAATAAAATTCAACTAGATGGAAGATGGAAAGCAGCCGTGTGGCGAAATCGATTGTCAGTGGTACATTGTATTTTCAACCGGGATGGCATGTCGGATCTCTGATTGGGATTCAAAATCGAACTGAAATAAATGCCCACGTGATGACGAATGAATGGGTGCGTATATTTTACAGCTGACTAGATTTAGTGTATCGTCGTTGCCGCTTAATTTTACCTAGAAATTGAGCCTTGAACGACACAAGGTCTACTAGGAAGAGTGAAACGCGAACATTAGCTTTCTACGGTAGAAGCCAGCAGTCATTATGAATATGTTTTTCTCAGTGCTATCGTAATATGAGTAGGCACGTTTAATAGCTCTTGCGTTGCCAATAGACAGGAAGAAGTTCAGGCGGACACGCTGGAACCGGATGAACATGTCATCGTATGAAGGAGTGGAATTTTTGTTTCATGAAACTAAAGGAGTATGACAGAAAATATGCATCAAATGGTACATGAGATTTGTAATCAATATATATCAAATGTAAGAATGCGACTCATGTAGATACCACCAAGGTTAAATAGACATGCAACATGTTTTCGCAAGTTGTTTTCTACTTTTATGAAATCCCCCGAGTGCAATTGACATTCACCGGCTGAGTCCGTTTGAAAGTTGACGTGAGACTGTGTGGATGTTTTTATGATGTCAAATAGGAAGTTTGGGTCGTTTTGGATGCTTAAAGCTGTCTTCAGACATGAGCGTGCACGGGCGGAGCGTCACTCTCATTACGTTCAGTTTCATTTGGAAACATGAATGCCCTCAGCGAGTTAAATTATCATAGATTTATTCATCATGGTCTCCACCACCGAGCAAAAAATTCTGCGCAACAAGTTTGAAATGTCAAATACATTCTGAAAGAGTCTTCTTTTTCAATGACGTTAGGCGAAGTGTAAGTCTTATTTTATTGAACGGTCGACAAACGGTCGGCAAGGTTTTTTTGAACAACCCCAATGAAATAAATTTATTTTCTCATGCGGCATATGGCCACCTCAACGAGTTATTGACCCATCGTGGTCAGAAAAGTGTCACAACTTTTTCCTTCTTCAATCGATGTCCTAATAAATATGGGCGTATCATGCGCATCGATTTCGATGATGGCTATAAAGAAGGGGTGTACGCCGGAACTATTAATATTTAGTGCTCTATAAGACAGACCTTACCTTTCTAAAAAACGTGGCAATGAAAATCCCTTAACTATCAATAGAATCCATAAATGAAGCAATCAAAAAGAATAAGAACTTGTAATGGCTACACAATTTACTTTCAAACAAGATGAGGTGCTACGTATCCTACATTAGTTTGCACGCGGACAAGGTCGTAAAAACACCAACTCATGTTCGCTTCATAGCTTCAAAGATATATTGACCATTAATGTACAAGCGCGGAATAAAAAATTCATCCATTCATCATCGTGGCTTCATGTACATGGGAATCCATCAACACATATTGCGCATCAAGAGTAATTGTGCATACCCATTCCTGCTCAGCGCTCATCACCGCGCTTTGAACAGCACGCGTACCCACATCAGGATCCAAGTGGGCCCTACGTCGCGTCGCTAGTGCTGTCAAGCCGCATTGCATACAGTAAATTTGAGTTGATTTTGTTTCATTCTCTTACCCTCTACTGCTGTGTCTGGCACATCACGCCATGGTTGGTTGGTGTGTCTGTCTATCCGAGTTCTATTGTTGAATCAGCATTGCACTAGTAGCGGCGGTTGAGTCCTTCAGGGTGAGGTGCTCAATGTTGGGGATCTTCCGGTTGATACAGTAGTAGACCACTCCTGAAGTAGCGTGCCTACCTTGCTTAACTTTTCCGTGTTTCGTATCCTTTTCTACCACCACCGCCACCTAGCCACCACACATTAATATTTGAAGTATACACGAAATGAAAATAATGGAAAACAGAGACGGGGAAAATAAAAGCTGGAAAAAGTTGGGCTCAAAGTTCAGTCTCGAGCAGAAAGGATCCGTGGTCGGCGGTCAGTCTACGTGTTAGTCCGGAGGGTCCGGTTGTGGCATATTTCTAGACAAAACTCATTTCCCTTTTCTAGAGCAATATAGGACCCAAGTGAGCGGATTAAAAGTTGTATCTACATGTCAAGCTGGGGAACGCAGGCATGATTCGTTGTGAAGTGAAAACCATTCTTCATCGCATGTAGGATTTTCCAACTGTATGATAAATACAAATTCAATTGGTTGGTGAGGAGTGGTTTACAAAAGTTTAAATTTGTATAACATGGATTTGTAAACGTTCATCAACCATTGTAGTGCACAATACTTTGGGTTCACTGTTCGCTGATTAATCACAAAGCTTAATTCCATTAGTGCTCTGATGTGCCATAAATCGTTACATACGCTTAAATAATCTATGAATAACCTATAGATGTAGCCTTCTTAATACATCGCCCTGCCTGTGGGTAAATATTACTGTCACAATCGTTGACATGACATGGTCATGGCGTGTCGAATACAATTAAGACAGGCGTAATTTTCTATCGAAATGGAAGGGTTAAGCTCTGGAAAAGTTTCTTGAACTAACGTGGCATGTGTAGTGTTTGAATCGATGTTCATTTAATTTTTGTGCTTAACAAAATTCCTTCCTAGAAAATGACAACATTAATTAGTAAACTAAATTTCATCCGTCGCTTAATTTAGTGTGCCACTTTTCACAGCCTCCTCTGCTTATCTTCGGGCTCCGTTCAGTGCGAGACGACTTCCAGAAAGTGCTTCAACTGAGTGAACAGGAAAGCGAATAAAGTGAAATAGTGCTAAGTGAGTTATCTATATATCTCATACTATAATCAGGCCGGTGTGGAAGCAGCAAGCGTCTGCACAAAAGAACTCCACGGATGCTGATGGTGATGAATGTGTTAAGGAATCAAGAGTAAAATGTCATTGATTCGATAATGTCAATTGTGAAGAAATTGCACCCACTCCTCTGAGGAAAAAGTGAATATTAACCCTATAGACGCAACGAGATATGGCATCACAGTCGGCTCCCGGTAGTGGGAATAATATTCCTAGCAGCTCCAGCAGTAATTCATCTCTTACAAATGTACATTCCGACGAACGGTTGGTGGTAAGTATTGTAACCTTAGGTTAACACCTCAGTCAGCGATGTCACAAATACCGATTTTTTACACGAAAAAAGTTGGGAGCCTCTTGTTTATTTTGATAGTATTAAGAATTATTAACTTTTTGAACCAGTTTTTGAGCTAACAAATTTGTACCAGTACCTTACGCTAGATCAAAATAAACAAGGGGTCCCAACTTTTGCCGGGTACGAAGATCGGTATTTGTAGCATCGCTGACCTCGGCAGAGATGGGTTGTAGAGATGTTCAATTTATGAACAATTGCATTGGATCAGGTTTTGTCTTGCGTATTTACCGACAAGGTTAAATAGTGGGCAAAACCCTTGCGAGAAATTTTGTGATTTTTTGTTTACATCATCTACTGATATCACTGTGCAACATGACTTTCCAGGACAGGAACATTTGACCAAATATTACATTCTTATGGGCTCCTGAACTCATGTCTAGAATTTACTCTTGCCCTGGGTAATGTGGAATGATTTTTTTAATGCTGGCTGCGCAGAAATAATCAATTCATCGCCATCAGTTGGCAGCAAACGCTGTTAAGTTGCATTAGTGCAAAGCCCAATCGTTACTCTTCCATTTTTGTTTACGTTCGTGCTGAGCCCGCAGCGCTTGGGTAATGGAACTTGTCTACGTCACTGTCAATCCGAGATCCATATTCGTGGCTAATCTGCCTTAGCTGGTCTGATAATTTGGACACCATCGATTGTCTCTCTTAACTGTACCTACTTCTTTCTTTTAACTTTCTTGTGATCTCCTGAGTTTAACTGTGCATAATATAAGGTGGAGCACTACTTCGGCATATGGGACCCATTTCCGTCGTACGCGTCAAAAATAATGAAGGCAAACACTTAAATTCAACATTGATGCATCAAATTCTTTGCTCACGAGTTAAATAACGAAAGTAAACTGAGGTGTGTGTGTGTGTGTGTGTGTACAATCTAACCCCCACTGTCCGGCAGTGTTATTATGGAAGAAAACTGCTTTTTATTACCCTTCAATTAAAGCAGGTTTAGTCCGGGAGTTAGAAGGTGTTAGCTCTATTGCAGCTCCAGTGACCCATTTCAGAATGCCTGGTAATTCACGACCACTCCGAGGTCACTTTTACTTACAATAAGCCCCGCATGTTCACTCTACCTTTATCAAATGGATAATGGTATCATAAACACACTTCCAGATTCAAAAAATATTATTTCCAAATCTGGCACGTATATAGTTTTGAAATTTGTTTAACTGTAATAAAACGATTTGAATGGACATTTCTTACCAATTTTGTTTCGAATACCTCTTGATTCATCTGCTGGCAGAACTTACTGCACCTTACCGGCGACCAACTCGTCTGCCGCAAAAGCAACAACGCCTAAATCTCAAGGCTCTCCGGACGTCCCCTCGAAAATGCAATCGAGATATGTATAAGAACAATCTTCAACTGGAATGAACTCACCAAATCAATACAGCCGGGAGTACATTCCCAATGCTTATTTTTTTCTCGCATGCCCGTCGTCGTCAAACGGCAAAAAAAAGGGAACTCGTTGAGCAATTTTGTGATACGGAAGTTTCACTGAACATAAACCGCGAATTTACGAACTTCACCACTCCCAACTCTGCAAAACACGTTCAGAAGCACTTTTGGTACACTTTCGATCAATTTCTTTCGAACACACAAAAAAAAGTTTCAAGCAGCGAGTCAACATCAACACCGATTGTGCCGAACTCTTTCACGCACCTTGCAGCGCGTAAATAAACTGAAATTAAAAATTATCACTCGCGATGCCACTAATTTCTGGTCCGGGAGAAAATCAAATAACGTAGATTGCGACATTTCTTCTGATGCTTGCAAACATGTTGAATCACGTTTTCTTTCTCTATTCTAAAACTTCCCGGAAAGCGAGAAAACTACCAATCACACACGTATAAACGTCCGGGAGGCAGAGCGCCAGCGCTAATGCAGCCGAAAACTATGAACGCGAACGCACCACAAAACAGAGAACAAACAACCGTATCCAAAGGCGCTCCAATTTAGAATCAAATAACGAAAGTAAACTGAGGTATGCCGAAATGGTGCCACGCCCTACTTATGCCCTAACACGTTTTTAAGGTACCGTCCTTTTTATTAATTTTGCAGGATCCAGGGTCTCTAGTAAAATGTGTATGGTTATTTTGTTTAACATCGTGTTCCAACCCATTTGTGAAATAGTTCTATTATTTGGGTTATCGTTTACGCATGGTATTTTTTATTAGGGATGGCCACTTATTCAAGAAATTAAAATGCCTATTTTAACCCATTTTTTCCTGGCTGCTCAACATATATTTACCGGTTTCATATATTAAAATTACAGCCGCATCATGCTATTAAAGCTGCAATCTGACGCCAAATGCTAATTTCTCTTTAAATTGGAAATACATTGCTCACATCTAACATAAAATTTGAAAAAGACGTATTAGTTTACGTGAAAAAACGTGTATCGCGCTTTTTGAACGCTCCGTAGCTCACCTACGTAATCCAAGAACAAGGAATGGGAGACTTCCCCCTATATGAGAAATATGATAAAAAAGGAATACCGTCATGATTGATTTTAGTCATTGATGTCACTGTAAAAAAAGAAATTGGATTTTATTTTGAATGCAGAAAACCGGTGAAGATCCCTTTCGACTACCCTTTCGTTGCAAACACAAAATATATTTTCAGAATTATTAAATTTTATCAGATTTTAACAGGAGGAACGAAATAAACAAATCCGCATTCACGTCATCGAAAATAATCATAGAAAATCTTTTTTTTAAGTAGATTACGTCTCACGGAAAGGTACAGGGGTAAATCAAAAATCTAAAATTGCGACCGTCACAAAAACGTGTCAGGTTTTGAACACTTATAACTTTGTTATTTATAGATGAAATTAAAATACAAATACACCAATTCATAGGAAAAAAACTCTGCAAATCTGCTGAAATAAATTCTTTTCAAATTTTCATAAAAAATTCTGAATAAATTACAAATAAAATTTAAGGGTTGTGTCTTAGACACGATCGCAGTGTGACGTAGAACTACGCAAAGTTGTATGTCATGCATTTTTGATTATTATACTTTCTCTTAAATGTTTCAAGTATTTCAATGTTTCGGTTATGGTTCAAAACTAGCGACAATTCATGTTAGCATAATCAGACCACGGTTCATCTTACGCATGAGATAATGTATTTCAATTTAATGTAATGGTTAAGAATTGACCGAATTTCCCCTACATAACTACCTTGGATTGATCAATGTTGAGCTATTTTGCTGTGATCAATGTACACTAAATTTTACATCGACTACACTATTTCGTCACACATTTTTTTTGTTGATTTGCACCTCAGTATAGTACACAAATACGCCATGCACGTTGTGGAATAAAACTATTGCCAAAAAATACATTCATTTTTTCAGTAGCTCCATCATTAGTTTTAAATTAGGTTTCTGAAGCAAAGAAGAAAGTGAAGATTGCATTTTATGATAACGCAACAGGCAGTTGTTTTACATGTCAGAAGACGGTACTTTAAATATTGAACAAAATGTTGGTTCATATGTCAACGAAGTAGGGGAGGAAGGGGTATAACGGTCATACGGGGTTTAAGCACCTCTTTGTTCTCCAATTTGGAGGACAACCCTAACATAAAATTACCATGCATCATCATTATGTACTTTACAGCTCGTTCGTAGAATGATTGCAAAATAGAATACTGTGACGTTTCTCAAGTTAAACCTTTGGTTTCCAATAAGTAGGTGCTTAGTACAACATTATTTAAAAATAGGGGATTCAGCTATTGAATTTCAAAGTCAGAGAAAAAGCTCGTATACAGGTTCTCCACCTGTTTAATGTTTTGATAATAAACATCATAGTTAAGGTACACCGGTGCAAGTTAAAACAGTTCGTGTATCTCTTAGAAATAATCTCAGTGATTATTCACTTCCGCTAAGTGCTACATCTACCGTTTCAACTACCCCACGCGTTTCTACTTGCCCCGGTGTAGGGTAATGGATTTTGGTTGGACCTATTCATGTCATTTTCGCTCTGTGTCTAAATGTATGCCGTGTTTATTCTATGAATATTACATATGGACATGAAAAATGTGTGTTTGGTGAAAAAGTCTAACTTTCTTGTTTCTATTAATACTAAAGAATGAACAATGTTCTCAAAATAGGATTTATTGAAACACGGGTTCGTAATCACACAAGCATTCCTGAGTAATTGCGCTAATTGAAAACAGTAGTTAGACAATTTTTTGGGATTCTTGCTCACCTCCCTTCCCCCCCCCCCTCGTAGTTAATGAACAGCCCCTTAGTTGAACGGGACCCAAGTCACCTTGAACCACTGACTTGCTCCTGCTTAATGCAGGACCAAACGCCACGCCGTCCGCTGTTTTATATCTTTTCAGAACGATGTGCAACCAAGTGGTACTCGATTATGATGACTAGGTTTGAAAAAAAAACGCTTATTTCATGAAAACAGTGATAAAATTATCATTTGTACATTTTTCAAAAGTTTTATTACGAAAAATTGGAAAAATATTTATTTCAGCAGGTTGGTAATGTAATATCCTGTCGATTGGCGTATTTGGATTTTAATTTCATCTATAAATGACAAAGTAACAAGCGTCCAAAACCTAACACTATTTCACCACACACATTTTTTGATTTGCACCCCAATATAGTCGACAAAGACGTAGTTCTACGTCAAAAAGCGATAAATTTATCTCTGTTTTCATGAAATAAACGTTTTCCCTAACCCAGACGCCATAGTCAAGTACCAAGTGGTTGCTCATCGATCTGTTTGAAGCTGTAAAGATATAAAAGAGCACTGCTGTCACACCTCCGCTCATTTTCGCGTCGGGCTATGATGCATAACTATGATGCATACTATCAAAACATTTAACAGCTGGAGAGCCTGTATACGAGCTCATGCTCTGATTTTGAAATTGAATACCTGAATCTCCCTTATTTTCTAT